AGCTAAAAAATAGCAATTTAACTACTACAGAATCCCCTATATTTGACTCTCAAGTGATTGCTGCTTCTGTCATCTTGGAGTTTGTTTATTTTTTTGCCCAGTGGTCATTTATAATAATAAAGTTGGAAGGGACCTTGGAGGTCATCTAGTCCAACCCCTGATCAGGCAGGAAACCCTATACCATTTCTGGCCATTTCAGACAAATGGCTGTCCAGTCTCTTCTTAAAAACTTCCAGCGTTGGAGCATTCACAGCTTCTGTAGGCAGATTGTTCCACTGATTAATTGTTCTGTCAGGAGATTTCTCCTTAGTTCCAGGTTGCTTCTCTCTTTGGTTAGTTTCCATCCATTGCTTCTTGTCCTGCCTTCAGATGCTTTGGAGAATGGCTTGACTCCCTCTTCTTTGTGGCAGCCCCTGAGATATTGGAATACTGCTATCATGTCCCCGCTCGCCCTTCTCTTCATTAAACTAGACATACCCAATTCCAGCAACCGTTCCTTATGTTTTAGCCTCCAGTCCCCTAATCATCTTTGTTGCTCTTCTCTGTACTCTTTTTAGAGCATGGGTGTCAAACTCGCCACGTCATGTGACGTGTTATGACGTATCGTGACTTTGTGTGGGTGGGCGCGGCTTCAGTATGATGAAACAGGCCCGCGGGGTGGCAGTTTGACAACCCTGTTCTAGAGTCTCAACATATTTTTTACATCATGGTGAGCAAAACTGGATGCAGTATTCCAAGTGTGGCCTTACCAAGGCATTGTAAACTGATATTAACACTTCACTTCACGTGATCTTAATTCTATCCCTGTTAATGCAGCACTGTGTTGGCTTTTTTGGCAGCTGCAACACACTGCTGGTTCATATTTAAGTGATTGTCCACTAGGATTCCAAGATCCCTCTTGCAGTTACTATTGAGCAATGTACCACCTATACTGTCTCTGTGTATTTGGTTTTTCTTGCCTAAATGTAGAACCTTACTTTGTTCACCATTGAATTTCATTTTGTTAGATACCGCCCAATGTTCAAGTCTGTCAAGATCCTTCTGTATCTTAAGCCTATCTACTGGAGTGTTGACTATTTGTGCCAGCTTGGTGTCTGCAAATTTGATGAGTTTCCCATCTAACCCCTCATCCAAATCATTGATGTTGAATAGCACTGGGCCCAGAACAGAGCTGTGGGGCACCCCACTACACACTTCCCTCCCTGTAGATGCAGTTCCATTGAGGACCACGCAGTGAGTACAGCCGGTCAGCCAGCTACGAATCCATATGGTGGAGATGCTGTCTAACCCACATTTTTTTATCTTATCAAGTAGTAAGTTGTGGTTTACTTTATCAAATACCTTACTGAAGTCCAAGTAAATTATATCCACAGAATTCCTCTAGTCCACTAATTTTGTCACTTGGTTAAAGAATGCAATAAAATTTGGCATGATCGGTTTTTGACAAACCCATGTTGGCTTGTGGTAATGACTTTGCCTCTAGGTGTTTCGTGATTCGTTGCTTGATTCTTTTCCAGAATCTTCCCAGAACTTACTGCTTTTGGAGTCATAAGCATATCAATGAGGATCTTAAAAAAAATTAGGGCATTTATCTGAAAGATGACTGAATATAAAGTAATCCCTGCGCCCAAAAAGAAAAGAAAAAAAATACAAAGATATTACTGCCCAGCCTCCACATATTGGAAACCTGGGATTTACAATTTTGGTTCTTATCAACTGTTATTGAGATTTACTCTTCCACAATAAGTGTATCTAGCATCTGGGGTAAAGCACATCCTAAAAAAGCTATCGGCTAAAATGGTAGTACTTAACTACTGTTAAAATTAATGGATTAAAATAGGCAATCGTTTATAAAAGGATCTTCCATCTGCACAAGGAACCATTCCCCTGCATATAAACATTTATCTCTATCAGAAACAGCATTAACTAATGCAGTGGTTCTCAACCTGTGGGTCGGGACCCCATTTGGGGTCGATCGACCATTTCATGGGGGTCGCCAGGCTGTCCGCCATTTTTTTGTCTGCCATTTTTTTTGTCCGCCATTTTTTCCCCCTTTTCCGGCGGGTGCCTTACCTCCCTTGGGCTGGGCCAGCTGGTGGTCGGCCTGCTCCGTCTCTGCCGCTTGCCAGCTACGCCTCGGCCGGCGCAGGGGGTGGAACCACGCATGCACGGCGCTCCCGGGCAGGGAAAGTCCTCGACTTACGACCGGTTGGGGTCGCGGCATTAAAAAGGTTGAGAACCACTGAACTAATGGAAGATGGACAGAGTGAGGAAAAAAGGGGGAAACAAAACTGGCTAGGAATGAACGGTGTGTGACAAAAATATTAAATGTATTAGCATTTAGTTAGTCTTATACAAAGGCTGGCCTTCGTAGATTCTCCTTTTCTATCTTTGCAGCCATTTGCACCTGCATGTTTAACAAATTATCAGTAATGACTTAGTTCAGTTATTTTACCACATACATTTTACTCTTAAGTCTGCAAGAATACAAGTTTTTAATACCAATACCACTTATTTTCTACTGAGGCCATTTTTTCTACAGGATAGGAATATTAATCCAAAATTTTCCTGTATGAAATTTTTTTCTGTGCAAATTCCTGCAATGAGCTGAAAGCAGTACAATAACAGTACTATCACTGCATTTCATGCAATTTTTATAATCGTAGTGTGGTCAGTGAGAATAGTCCTCATTGAAGTACTTTGTTCAATGATATATTTTTTAAAATGTATCTATAGTAAAAATATGTATCATCACTTGGGGAAAGTGTTGAACTTCAAAAATTATAATTCTTAATTAGTTATATGAATTGCAAAGTTTTGTAAAATCTTTATGTAGCACTTTTTGACTATCCAAGTTTAAGAATCTATGACAAAAGCTGGAAGCCTCTTTCTGGATTGTATCCTTTCAGGTAGCATTTATGTATCCTAACATAAGTACATGTTGTCTGTGAGGAATAGACTTTATTCATTTTAGTCTTTATTAAAGAACATTTAAAAAGGAAATTCAATTCTGATGTATCATAGTATATATAACCATTTGTAAAATTCAGTTTATATAGTACCGGTAATTGCTATTGAAAATGGCACAGCATTTTAGGAGATCTGAAAGTTTTCTGTTTGCTCAGCAAGTGCTTCAAAGGACTTTTAATTATAAATCACAGCAAAATCAGATGTGTAATGCTAATGTGATAAACATAAATATGCCAGCAAAAAAATAGGGATTTACTTTTCCTGAAGTAAAACTTCCTGGTTCACAATGATTTAGACATGGTGATTTATAAGTTTTACTTAAAGAGTTCTGGTGCAACTAGTATTGAACAATTGTACATTTTAATATAAAATTTACACTAAAGAATTCAATCCATTATTTAAAATATTCATAAATTAATGTTCCTAGTGTTCAGTTTTAAGATTAGGCTCAAAATATTTTTTCTGAGAACCCACACTGTCCTATTCTGATATGTGTGTTTTAATCTTGCCTGAACTAAGAAAAATTTACAACTGTAATAAGACATATTTAATACCAGAAAAAAGGCTGTCCAATGACAAAAAACCTCAGAAAATGGAATAGCATAAAAATATTTACAAATAGATACAAGAACTCACTTTAAATCTACCCAAAACTGAATGGGAAATGCTCCTCTTTAGCCACTAGCTATATAATTGAATCTGTATTCAGTCAAAGACTCTAGTACAATTGAGAGGTAGATATATTCCACTAGGAAGTCAACACTCCAAGCAGTCTGCCCCCACTAATACATATAAAACAAATACTCATCACACAAATTGGTTTTCGGAAGATTGCTTTTTTTGAATATCATAATATATACGTTTCATTTCAGTTTTATTTTTATAGATATAAATTCAGTTCATTTAACCTGTCTTTAAAGTTTTGGAGGCTTACATTTAAATTAAGGTAGCTTGTTCAATACCAGTTATAACAGATGACCATTAATATAAAAACAGTCAGGAGAAATAAACATTTTGCTTAAAAGATTTGACACCAGTGATCTTAATGCAAGATCAGAAACTCAGCATCTATGATTTTATCCATGTATTTATTTTGTAGATGGGGCACTACGCCAGCCCAGTCACATTATTTGATGTTCCCTTCTTCACCAAGTCACTCTTCAATAGTGGTCCCAGCAGGAAGAAGTCTTCTAGCATGTAGCTAAAATGCCATTAATGATAAAGAAAACTGTTGCTTCAAAGATGGGACTTGGTAACCCTGAGACCATGTCTAGATGACCATATCTAAGTTTCTTAAGTCAAAATATCAATGAGACTTTTTACGAGGTGCAGCCCTTTTATGGCTCTATTCCAGGTCAAGGGCTTGCATTATGACCACACCTTAAACTTCAAATTAAGTTAGGATTTTGACTTTTTTCCAAACTGATAATTAAAGGATCTTATCTTCAAATAGAAATCTATGTTTAGAAACAGTTTAAACGCTGCATGAAGAGGCTGCATTATTGACAAGATTTATTTAATTCTCAATTAGACAACTACATAAATCGGACCACTGTTCTAAATGGATTAGGCAAAAAATCCTGTGCATCCTAAAGTGGGAAGGGACATAGATGAGAGAGAAGGTCCTTGAAATGTAATAAATTCTGATCATATTCCCATATATGGGAATAAAACTTTAATCAACTCCAGCCCAAGTTAGCCAAATTATATTTTAATAGATGGCCTATGTAGATGTTTCACCACACATCAAAATACACTCCTGGAAAAGCAGAACTTCGTGTCAGTTTTCACACTGCTGAGAAAATGAATTTCCACTCAGCATTTAAACATGAAGTTTTCAATTTTCCATTTCTACAATGACAGCTTTAAGGGAAAAAAAAACAAAGGACACAGAGTGTTGCCATTTTTTTTCTTTTTTAGCAGCAATGAAATACCACTAGCCCCTTCTTTACATATCAAATTCAAGTCACAACCAGTGGTAGCTGCACCACAGTTCACCAGGTACAAAACTGCTAGTTTTAAATTAATAACCTGAAATTTTCCCCAGAACATCCTTTTTTTTTTTTTTATAAACAAACATTTTGCTAATTTTGTACATAGGCTAGCAGGCTTGTTTCAATATGAAAGTGCTAAATCATTTACAGATTTTATCAGTTATGTAGTGCTACAATAAGTGTCCGATATTCTACATATGAACAATCTTGATAAATGGAAATAATGAAATGTTAAGTAAGGCCATCCAATTGCCTTTATGTACATTAAAAGAATAGATACCCATTGGGGAGAAGAAAAGAAAACTGGGCAAATACTCAAGTCCCACAGTTGTAAAAATTAAATTGGCCTTCAAGCTTGTGTACTGTAAATGAGACCTTTCCAACAGTCCTGCAGCCAATGCCTATTTTCTTCATAGAAAGGAAGCTGCCTTCAAGACATCCCCTCTTAATTTCCAATATCCACAGTGTCATTTGAAGCTCAAGTTTCAGGTTCTTCCTATCTTCATAAAACCTTCTTTCCAGTATTAGGTTGCATGATCAAGTTCCACTTCTGGGTTGCTTTTTCTTTTTAAAATATTCAATTTCTACCAATTCATTTAGCGTGAGCTGTAGATAACATGAACCAGTTCTGGAACCACTATATTGGGAGGAACACAAGCTCTTCACTACAATCACACAGTAGGAGGAAAAGTAGTGATAATTCAATTCATTCCTGGGGCTGGACCACCAAAATTAAATGAACTTGGCACAACTGGAGCACTGAATTTATATCCACCATGTTTTTCAATCATTTTGGATTCTGGAAGAGATAAGATAAAATTCTTCAGTGTCACAAATTGTTTCTGTAAAGTAAGTTCTTCACAATCAACAAAAAGTTCTAATATTAAAAATACCTCAAGAGATCCTCAAAAATCAGTTCTCTTAAAAAAACAAAAGTGCTCTATAGAATAACAAGCAGAAGAATGAGTAATATGATATCACATATACTTTTCCAGTCTTAAAGAGAAACAAGGAAAGAACGTAAAATCATCATGCTCATCATATTGAATATGGCTGGTTCAAAAAAGTGTCCTGATTTAAAAGAAAATGCAAAACCAAAATCAGAATCTTGTCATGAACAATATAGCAATTTGATTAAAAAATAAAAAATTCTCTCCAAAATTATTGAAAATAAATAAGATTTTAAACTGTTTCTGTGTCCACAATCTTGGCTGCCTGTCTTTCATCTATAAATAATTGGGATTAAAATGTACATCTTCATTCTCATCAATTTATTTTGTTGCAAACCATATAGTGTTATTGAAAATATATTTACACAATTTGAGCTACAGATGTGGCTGATCCTTTGACAGAGGGAGCTGTAATGACAAAGAATTGCTGATTCTGAGAATTCCACAACAACATACACCTTGACCTGTCTGGTACTCTTTTTGATTATTCAAAGAGAATAGGCTATTGACCTTACAGAGAGCATCTGAGAAATATTTTTAGCACTCAGTAAACATCTAATTTGAGACAGATTCATTCTCTAGCACAGCGGTTCTCAACCTATGGGTCGTGACCCCATTTGGGGTCGATCGACCATTTCACGGGGGTCGCCAAGCAAGGCTGTCCGCCATTTTTTTTCCCCTTTTCCGACGGGTGCCTTACCTCCCTTGAGCTGGGCCAGCTGGTGGTCGGCCTGCTCCATCTCTGCCGCTTGCCAGCTACGCCTCAGCCAACGCAGGGGGCGGAACCACGCACGCGTGGCGCTCCCGGGCAGGGAAAGTCCTCAACTTACGACCGGTTGGGTAGTCCTCGACTTACGACCGGTTTAGTCCTCGACTTACAACCAGTTTAGTCCTTGACTTACGACCGGTTGGGGGTCGCGGCATTAAAAAGGTTGAGAACCACTGCTCTAGCACAAGAAGAGACTAGGCTATTCTGCCGAATCCCCTTTCACTGAGATAGCCTCCACTGTCCCCACTCTTCTAGCCAAGGCTATGGCTACCAAGGAATTTATTTCAAAAATACAGATTTTTTTTTTAAAACAAGTTTTATTGGTTTTTTCATTTTACAAACAAGTGCTTAAGAAACAACGTGGTGGCAGGACAATCAATTGTCCACAAAACAAAGTCATATTCATAAAGTTCGAATTAAGTCATTAAAAACCTCCTCTCTTTTCCCTCTAATGACATATTATATTCAAATTGATATATTACAATACAACTAAATCAATCATAGAAATCCTCAATAATCTTTCGTCTAAATAAATCTACAAATCCGAATCCTGTATTGAGTTTACCTATTTCACTTACTATGTTCCATATTTCTAATCTAAATACCTAGTTAACACTTCGGGGTCTCCCCATAACCTTTTTCCTTAACATATTCAATAAGCATTTATTAATATCATTCCTTCCTTTTTCTTATTCCTCTTCCATTACAAATGACTAACAATTCTAATAAGAAAAGAAAATATTAATTCAAATCAGAAAGGAAAAAAAAAGAGCAAAGAAAAGAAAAAAACAAAACAAAAAAAAGAAAAGAGAAAAAATACCTTTCTATTTCTATTATTCTTTATAATCTAACAATCAATCCCTCAATATCTGTATCAAATTTCTTTAATGTTAATGGGATATGTTTGATGGGTCCAACAGGAACCCTTGTTTGGGCCTGAAGGACAAGTCCTATGACAGAAAGTGATATATGACTGACAATGAAAGGAGGCTTACATCTCTGAGGAAGTGTACATGATAAGGGTAACAGATAAGGGGAAACTGTCCCCCTGTCAAGAAGATAAATCCCAAAGTGCAAAGTAGTTGCAGCTATCTTCTGATCCACCTGCCAGAAATCTCATAGTTTAGAAACTATGCAAAATCTGAAAGTTTACTGCTTACCCAGCAAGTACTTCAAAGAGATCCTTGTTAGAAACTGAATGTAACAGCTAAGCAGAGACCTGCAAAACCTTGAACTTAAAGAGTGCAAGAATGACTTCCTGAAGAATGGTATGGATATCAATATCTACTTTGACAGGTAGCAACTCTCCAAGGACTCATTCAGAAATCTCATTTTTTTTGTAAACTAGAACTACTTACAATTGCACCTAGAACTTTCTGCAACGAGGCAGAACTTTTACAAATGAGTTACAATCCATCCCTTTATGCTAGCAGACACTGGATAGGCAGCTTCTGGTTGAATGTCTTAGGTTAAGTACTACAGAAATAAGACAGGTTCTGGGGTGAATGTTTATATCGCATAAAACCATTCTCTAAAGGCTGGTCTTCTCAGCCAAATCCCACAGGACCAGCCTCTGATGTCCTGTGATTTTGCAATATTATTCCTTGCAATATACTGGGTTTTGCTGTGTACACAAAGGCAGCAAAATGGCCAAACCCAGCCAATGAGGTTCTATCCAATACACATGACTGCTCCCCATAAGCTATATATTTTAGATCCATTTTGTTTTGGTGAGACAGCAGGATAAGAGTTTATTCTCATGATCTGCATAATTCAGACTGAACAGGGCTATGTTCTTTCTTAAGGTCCTGGCTATGTTCTTTCTACTGGAATGAATGCCATCTTGCTCGTTTTAGGTTGCCAGTTGTATCTTGTATGTTTCCTGCTGTACCAGAATAAAAATGAGTCCTCCCTCTCTTCTCTAACATATTATTCCACACAGCATTTATCAATTTGCTATTGCCATTTTAGCAACGGACAGAGGGCATGTCAGAGTCACATGTCCTCAATGGAGGCTTAAAGCTTGGATCCTGCTGTGCCTACTTTCTTGGTAAGTCAAGAGAGCTGATCATGTTAACTGTCAGCAAATCACTGCTAATGGTGCTAACTACAACTTCCTCAGGATACATAAGGATTACTAAACTTGGAGCTGACCAAGTCTAATCCTGGAGAAAGAAAGGCTGCTAGAGAATTGTCACAGTGAGTGGCACCTACAGTCTAGCACAGAGCTCACTTTGTAACCCTCTTCTCTACCTCTGGAATTGTTTCTAGAAACTCATCTGGCACCAGTTTGACTTGTGAGATAGGGTGCATAATCTTCCCTGAAAAACTTCTATTCCTTTGCTTCCTTGTGACAGTCAAACATAGTTCTATATGGCACATCAATCCACAAAAGCTGTGGCTATTGTGGAATGCTTTTTAATGGCACTAGTGCTCAAGGAACCAAGGTCTTTTGCTGCTTCCTATGGTCAGCTGATGTTTTTTCCTATAGCTTCCTCTTTGTTGCATAGGAGTTTGAGGACCAGTGACTTCCATTCTCTCCAGTGCTTACTGAAACTTTTTCCTGGAGCATTATCTTGTTACTGTTCTATAGTTTGAATATCTTTCCCTTGTGCTAGGTGGCTTCTTCTACAGGAGCTGAGGAGCTGATTGCTGACCAAGCCCCTCTGAGTAACTTTACTAGTCTTACATTGGTCTTGCAAAATCCTTCTGAAAAGGATTCTTTGACCCTTCTGCACTGCTTGTTCTGAAGGCCATCTGAAAAGGACATGTGATTGTTCTTTTTCTTCTCAGCTCTAGTATCTTCACCTGTCTTGAAGATGCAGAGTTAAAACTAAAGAAGAGCGGATTTCTTCATGGGAGGAAAAAGTCTAAACAAGCCTTCTAGTAGAAGAGTTAAATTTAGCCCATTCTTCTTGGCTCCAACTTTGGTGACCAAGATTTTTCTAATTTAAAGATGAGGTAAGATGAAGCTCTTTCAGGGTGAAACACATCCCATAGCAAAATACTAATGACATGAACTTAATATATCCACGTACAATTCAATTAAAATGCATACCCTGAGCAGCTCTTCGCTGATCTGCTAAAGTTGCTATGTCCTGTAATTGTTTTCTTTGATCTTCATTAAGACCACGTGTCAATGCTTGGTACCATACTGGGTTACGATTCTGAAGTGCTGCAAAATATATAGATCTGTAAGCATTTGGAAAGTTCTATGCAAATCTTAACTTACTATTTTTAGATTCCTCTTGATAGATCTTAGTCTGTTCTTTGCTTTCTTGCTGCTGGTGTTTTAATTTTGCTTTTGCTGTTATAATTAAATATCCTGCTCTGGGATTCTTTATGGAGAGATTTTATAAATAAAATAAATGTTAATTATACAGTCTTTAACCCAATGGGGAAAGAATGCATAATTAAATGCATCAATCCAATAAAACTTATTTTATAGATGTTTTGAGGTATCATTTTTCCTTTTTCAATTCATTCTGAAATTAGTTTTATCTGCACATTAATGAGCAACTGAAATTTGACTTTATTACAGAGTAGGAGCAATCAATTTATTTAATAGATAGGTGGAGTGCTTCTACAATTGTGGACTAGAAATAATACAATGTATATCATCATTGAAATTATTTTCTCTCTTCTATTCTTTAATAAGGCAGATATATGTCAGAAAAAAATTCAAGCAAAATATCACCCGAGAAATACTAGGTAAGAGTTAACTGTTATTCCATTTTGCTGAGAAGAAAACTAGTTTTTCTACATCTTTCTTTTCTAGATCTTACTTCCCCCAATTGCTAAAATTTTTCTTACCAAAGTTGAAAGATCCAAGGTTGTTCTTTCCTTCCAATGTCTTTCCTTTCCCCTGTCATTTTTAGACCTTTCTGCCTAGCTATTTCCATAGGGAAACACAACCAGTAATCTGACACCATAACAACAATTTGCTATAGTAATAAAAACATTTGCTCTAGCCAAGATAACCTAAATATTTATCTCTGATAGTCTAATTTTTACAATAAAAAGTGAAGTATCTACTAATAATTCTGCTAAACTATCGATTTCCATCAAACTTGACTCATTCCAGATTTGCTGAATGCTTAGGCTGCAGCTTTTCAAATTCCTTGAATATTTTCTGAATCTTTTCAAATTACATGCATCCCTTGAGTTCCCATATTCCTTACAAGTTCTTTAGCACACCACATTGATAGTATATATTTCAGCACGCAGGAATACAGATTTGCAGTGAAAACTATGGCAGCACTTACTCTGAAAAATTGCTTTAAATATTTGATATTCATCAACAGGGTTATCTTCATCATCAATAATAGTTGAATATCCCTCCAGTGCTGTCTCTTCAGCATCATCATCTTCCCAATCCTCATCATCTCCATCTTCTCCAGCCTGTTTTGCCAAAATCTCTAAATACTCTTGACCATCTTCATCAATATCATCTTCATCACTTCCCAGTTCTGTAACAAACGAACGGTTTTAAAAGTGGCCAAAAATTTCATCTAGACTCTTTCCCCTTTAATTATTCCATTATTTGTAATGCATAAAATTTCCACACCTTTTTTTAAAAAACAAAACAAAACATGGTCTTTAATACGCTAGGCTATGAAGAGAACACAAATTTAATCATCTGATACTACATCACAGAGCTACCAAATGATAACTGTAAATCAGATGTAACAACAAAAGAACATTAAATAAATTGGGCCAATGATTCAACAGTATAAGTCTGCTTAGCTTTATTTTCATAAATAAGAAATATTGGAACAGATTGAAGAGCACAATAAATATGACTAAGTATATGTGATGCCTATATTCTGGGGGCAAATAGTTGCAGAAAATGAAATATACATTTCCTGGACATATTAATTTTCCACTCTTGATTTTTCCACCACCACCACTCCATTCTGCTTTTCTGAAATTAATCTTCCAAATGGAAAGATCTTTCTAATTTGAAAAATTAAATTCCAAAAAACGGTAAGTCCATGAACAGCTAAGTCATTTCTGTCTAGAGAAGAAAATGAAACATTCCAGAGAAATTCTAGCAATGCTAGTTTTTGCATATTCTTAAGACGTGGCAAAGGACTAATTATTCATACGTAAGAGATCCAAACAGAATAGAGTACTGTGTAAAAAATGAGAGGTACATAAATATTTCAGACCAATTAAAAGGCAAAGATGAAACAAACACAGGAAAAATCACAAGATATAGCCAAAACTTTCCTGAAAAACTTTCTACAGCTACACCAGCAATGTTGCTACTCAGCTCTACAGGAAAGGCCATTACTTTACCTGCGTCTTCATCTTCCTCAGCATCATCATCATCATCATCACTGTCATTTTCATGTTCAGCATGGCAAGCATATGCTCTTTTTAACCCATTAAATAAAAGTATGAAAGCTGGCAAGATCTGACCCGAAACCTGATTTAAAACCTGCGGTACATGTTCCAGGTCAATCAATGCACACAGGCCTAGCACACACATTTTTCTGTCATGAAGTCTGGAATAAGAAAGAAAATGGCATATTACGTTTGGTTTTAGGAAAGAGATGCCACAGATTCTACCTGAGATATTTACAAAGGGCATGGCTGAACTGATCAATGTGCATACCCAACAGAGCTTGTTACAGTATGTTCTTTTCATACAGATCTAGCCCACATTCCCTGAAGAAGCTAGATGAAAAAGAAGCACCTGTTGTATCTATATAGTCCCTTCTCTCTGCATTAGAATTTAATGAATTAAAGCCATAATCCCAGAAACAAGCTTACCCCAAGAAACAGTCTACATCATTAAGCCACTGTGTAATGAAATGATTTGTAACAGGTTCCACATTATTGGGGAAGCGAAGATTTTCCAAGGTATTCAGAAGTAGATGAGGATTATAATAGAGAGCAGCTATGGCAACCTGGAGGCACATTGTCCGTAATTCACTTGTTTTAACTTCTCTAGTTAATCGTTCTAAAGCAGCTTCCACAAACAAGGGTATACACTAAAGAGATGGAGGGGAAAATGTTACTCAAGTCAGAAGCAAATGTTAAAACATCACTGTAATGATAACATTTGATTTTCAGTATCTGTATCTTGCAATGCATGTATTCTTAACTTTTAAACTCTGTAGTATAACACTTCCACAGCTACTCCGATCTTCTCTTTCTCTATCTCCCCTCCCCTCCAAGATTTCTTCTTAGGATGAGCAGAGATGATACAAATAGTCCTAAACTTACAACAGTTTATTTAGTGACCGTTCAAAGTTATAATGACACTGAAAAAAATGACTCGCGACTATTTTTCACACATACTACCATCCTCATGGTCACATGATCAAAATTCAGACACTTGGCAACATGACGATTGCAATGTCCAGGGGTCATGTGTTCTCCACTTGTTAGCATAAATCTTTGCCCTTCTTGCTTGGTCAAGACTGCCAAACAGGAGATTAGGAATTTGTTCCTGGCAATAGTCAATGATTCATTGCAGGAGGAGGAAATGCTAGTTGTACTGGAAGAGGTGTCTTTGCAGGTATAGAAATATTAGACAAGATAAGAGGATAGTGGGCCTAAAAATTAAAACCAGACTTTAAAACTGAGAGCTTTTGCTAATGTTAGCTTTTGCTAACTTTTCAATTTACAGTGCCCTCTGAGTATGTAATCTTTGCTGAAAAAACTGAAAATATTTTGATGTGATAGCAGGCTTTAAAATTAATAAACAGAAAACAAAAATGTTGGTTAAAAATATGATCGCACAAGATCAAGATGTTTTGATAAAGAAATATGGTTTTAAAATTGAGAAAAAATTAAATATTTGGGAGTTAGAGAAGAATAATTATGAACTTGAAAAGGACAAAATTGAATTTGATGTAGAGTTCTGTACAAATGATGAAATTATTGCTAAGATAAACTTTTAAGTGATATTATTGCTAAGATAAAAACGGAGGACAAGATTGTACAGAATCCTCAACTTAACAACAGTTCATTTAGTGATCATTCAAAGTTATAATAGCACTGAAAAAAGTGACTTATGACAGTTTTTTACACTTATAACCGTTGCAGCATCTCCATGGTCACGTGATCAAAATTCGGACACTTGGCAACTGTTTCACATTTATGAAGGTTGCAATATCCTGGGGTCATGTGATCACCTTTTGCAATCTTCTGACAAGCAAAGTTTTTAAGATTTTTTATGAAAAGACTGGATAGCTACTTGTCTGAAATGGTATAGGGCAGTGATGGCGAACCTTTTAGAGACCGAGTGCCCCAAAACCAGCCCACCTCCACTCGCCCACCCACCCCCGCCCTGCTCCCCCCACCCTCAGGGCCATCCACGGCCCGCTGTAGATCGCCCAGGTGGCCCTGCAGCACGTTGGCCACACCCTCCGCTCGCGCCCCGCAGTATCATCTGCTGCCCAGCTGCCATGTATTTGACTGCGCTGCTCCACGTAGGCTGCACCCGGGGGTGACTCTTCTCCAGGGGGCTGCTGGTGTGGAAGGGGCTGCGGCGACGGCGTGCATGCCCACATAGAGGGCTCCAAGTGCCGCCTCTGGCACTTGTGCCATAGGTTCGCCACCATACTATAGGGTCTCTTGCTTGAGCAGGAAGTTGAACTAGAAGACCTCCAAGGTCCCTTCCAACTCTATTCTGATTTACAAACTCAACAGGAAATCAGATTCACTTAACATCCATGTTACTAACAACAACTGCAGTGATTCATTTAACAACTGTGTCAAGAAAGGGCATAAAATGGGGCAAAATTCACTTAACAACTGCCTCGCTTAGCAACAGAAGTTTTGGACCCAATTGTAGTCATAAATCGAGGACTACCTGTATGATAAAACAGGCAAAAATATATATAGATGAATTAATGGGCGAGTATCTGGAAGAAAGAGTTGAAATTTACAATGAATCATAATCTTAAAGAGAATTTTTATAAAATGAGTAATTGTTGGTATATGACAACTAATAAATTGACAGTTTTGATGAAAGAAAAGACTTTGATAAATGTTATTTCTACTTGGATACCACTTTTGGACCTGTTGTGAGAAACTGGAAAAAATGAAAAGTTGATTTTGGGATTTGATGATTAGAATAATATGAGACTATGGTAGTAATGTAGACAAGTGTTAACCTTACAATAAGAGTTTTATATATTCTTTTAATCTATATCTGTACCAAAGAAAATCAGAAATCAAGACTTTAACCTTTTCCCTTCTCCGCACTTTTATTCCTGAGCTTCCTTCCTTATCTTTTAATTTTGTAATTCTTTTGAAAATAAATAGATATATGAAAAAAATGTGAACTTGTAGTTTTTTCGAATTCAAATACCTATTATGCCTATGATATAATGAATGTTTCAGCTTTTGTATTCCTTCTTGATGGAACAAACTTTTTAAAATTCTTTCCTTTTTTTATTTATATGCAAAATTTGATGCTTTATTTTCAAATGAGCGGGGAAAAAACAGAAACTTCAGAATGTTACAATATTGCTATAATTATAGCAGCAGCCCCCAACTTTTTGGGCACCAGGGACCGGCTCCACGGAGAGACGTTTTTCCGTGGACCAGAGAGGGCATGGTTTCATATGCTGCTTGCATCCCGCAGATGTGGCTTTGCTTGTTTGCGTGTCCCGGTTTCTGGCATGCTGTAGACCAGTGCCGGTCCACGGATCCGGGGTTGGGGACCCCTGACTTAGAGGACATGTATTTATTATGATACTGTTTATTTACATATAGATGGTAAGTAACTGACCATTTTCACAGTATGGCTTCTTTCAGATATTTCTGAGGATACATTTATTTAACTTACCTGATCAATGCCACGGCCTTTACATTGCAAAATGATAACTTCTAATAGTTTTGCTGCATGACATTCTGCATCTTCTCCTGCTACGCCTGTAAGGACCTAGGAAATACTTGAACTATGAATTTTTGTAGTCAGTATTATCATTTTTATAAATAAATTCAGCTATAAGAAATATTCAGTCATCTCTTAAGTTTCATCAATATATATGAATGAATAAATCTTTTTACATATCTACATGAAAAAATTACTTTTTCAAAAAAGTAATTATTTCACATTTTCAAAGCTAAATTCCAGTTAAGAATCTACAAATACAAACCAGTAAAAGATCTGAAAGTGACTTATCAGTTTTATACACTTAGTGGAGGGTGCCACATGGCCCCAGAGAACCATTCCAGTTTACTTCTGTAAAATGATCTGCACAGTGCTGAGGAAATCTCCGGAAGTCTGCACAGTGCTACGCATGCAGTGCTAGGGAAGCAGAATTCAGTGGTTCGTCCCGAAATCAGCAGCCATTTTCAGCGTGTCCATAATCCTGACAGTCATGCCAAAATGGTGATCACTTCCAAGAGGCTGCCATGCAACCCAGGAACAAACCACTTCATTTTGCTTCCCCAAAGTGCAGTGTTGAGGAAAGCTCCAGAGACCATCAAAACATAAGTGCACAATGGGGGATGGAGGATGGAGAAGAGATCTAAACCCTACCTGACCCCGTTGGGGGTGGGGGGGGAGGCCTGAGGGGATATGGGGGAGAAACAGGCCCAAGGGCTGTGGGGAAGCTAAGTGCAGGAAGTGGAGTTAAGAGGGTGCAGGGGAGGTACAGGATAGATGGGTCTGGGTCTGCGCTAGGCCTTCCCCCTGAGGTACCCCATGCTCCGCTTAATGATCCACCTGTTTGTCTAACAATTATATCAGGAAGAACAGGGATGGAGGTCATTAAGTGAGACGATCACACTTGTGACTATAACAGGGAAGTTCCATTACAGTCATCGGTTAAGAACTACTTGTACTACATATAATAAAGGGGATGGGGAAAGGGAGAAGGGAAAACTGAATTAATCTGTCATGCTGGAATTCGGTTCCAGATTGAAAATCTTCCTGTACAGAAACACATTCTGTGCAAGAAATCTTCAATCAAAACATAAGAGAGATTGTTTATTTTAATAGCTATGATCACTAAAAGAAATGAAAGCCAATATGTATATGAGAACTCAGACTCAACTTTGTTTAAAATAAAGGACCTGTCTGCCGGACTTTACAAAGGCCAACTTTCCAAAAGAAATGTCTAACATTTAGCTCTGCTTCGGTTTCTGACAGCACACCTGGAACTGCCATTCATGCAGCAGTTAACAAAATAGTGACAAAGGTGTTTCAAAATTCTACCTCACTTTGCACAAATATGTTTGAGAATTTGGAGGCTGGTCAATGATAAACTTGTCTTTCAACATCGTTAGACCAGTACTATGATCTCATGTTGCTCTTTGGCTGCAGATTGTATGTGAGCAATATAGTCTATGTGCAGAACGCAAATGGACTTTATCACTAGACATAGATAATATACTATGCACATTTGACTGCAGCCATTTAAATCTACTCCGGAGGAGGAATTAAAATCATAGCACACATAATGTTCACATCTCTCTTTTCCTAGTTTTAAAAAGACAAGACAAAATTACTCTGAGGAGGATACAATGGGTTACCTACCTTTTTACACATACTGTAGATCATTTCTAGGTATTTTGTATCAGACAGGAGCGTGTCTGTATCAACAGTCACGTAATTATGCAACAGTGGCATCATATCTGTATTTAAAAAGAATAATGCTACAAATGTTATATATGTTCTTACCTCTTAATATTCATGAAAATAAAAAAATACAGTATGCATTAGCATTTCAGTTTATGTCGTATCATTTTCCCTTTGTAACATGAGCCTCACAAGGCATAAGGTATTCACCTGTAAAGTAATCAAAACCGTCCTGCTGAAATACATCAAAGACCAGAGGCAGAAGTTGCCACATCTGTGCAGAGACTTGCTGACAGGTCAGACTGTGAGCCAAGGAGAAGATTTCCTCATAGAATTCTGGAACAGATCAAAGTATCATTAAGTGTAATTTTGGTCAAATTAGTAGTAGTTTTTAATAGGTTTGTATTATTTCATACAACTAAAAAAATTACCTAAAACATGCTGTTGTAAAACTGTTCCTATTACTTGTAAACAGATACCTTCCAACTGCTGAGTAATCTGAAACAGAAAATTTAAATGTAAGACATGTATGAGATTGCATACTTTAAAATGGAAAATCCAATTTTGAAAATCAAACAGTATGTTATCCATCCTCCACGATCCATATTCACTCCTTTCCCCTTCTTTACGTGATGCCTATAATTTTTTGTACCTTTCCAGAACGACATTTTTAATTTGCTTTATCTTTCTGGTTTTATTTTTTCTTCCAGTCCAGTTGGAGAATTTGTCAGAAGCTATTTTATTGTAGAAAATGGATGTAATATTGAAACCTGAAACTTTCGGGGATAGTTGATATACAGGTGGAGAAAAAACATAGGACTTTTTAATATATGGCTATGGCAGCAAGGTTGTTATATGCCTAAAGTTGAAAAGAATATACACACAATGGAAAGAATGGATTTTGAAATTAATGGAGCTAGCTAAGATGGCAAAATGCTTTGCTCAGAGATAATAATTTGATTAAATTTCATGCAAGCTGGAGGCAATTGATAATTTTTTTGCAGGATAAAGAAAAGAATCAGCTTTTCACTTTGGATTTTGAAGCTTAGATTGGACTTGACTAGATAAATAATTGTAGTTTTTAAAATAAAAGGTTATCTACATTTGGTATCTTAGGTTTTTTTTTATGAAATTAAGATTATTTAATCAACATTGAGTTTTTAGTATGTTAGACTATGAGTAATTTAAAGTATTTTATAGATTGGTGTTAGTTCCTTAAACTCAGAGAGAAGTGGTTGAATTGTCAATATATGCTATACTAAAAGAAAGTCACTTTTGTTATGTTTGATATGTTTTTTGTCACTTTGTTTTGCCATTCCCTTTTCTTTTAGTTTGTATTTTAAAGTATGATGTCAAAACTTAATAAATGTATTATTTTTAAAAGCGATTTTATTCTGAAACCCTAACCCTAACCACCCCCCATACATACACACACTTTTCATCAAGAAACATGGCGGTTTTTAACTTTCCAGGCAGAAAGCTAGCAAACGCAATGTTTCCGCACAGTAGAAAACTGGTTTTTTCTAAAGCCTTCAGAACAATCACGAGAAGAGTGCCGGCTGTTGAAATGTTTCTGAAGGCAAGGAAGGCTGGATAAATCCTTTCTACTATTCAGAAACATTATGTTCGCTAGTTTTGTGGCTGGAAAGCTAATAAATACAATGTTTCTGAAGGGCAGAAGATCTCAGATCTTCATGATACAAGGTTCTTTTCTTCAGCCCCCCCCCCTCGCGAGTTCCTCCCTGCACGGAGGATGAAGAAAATCTTCCAAGGAAGTAGCAGCTTGCAACCATCTCCATTGGCTTCTGCATTAACTTTTTAGGGAAGCCAACAGAGAAGACTGCAAATGGCGATCACGGGACATATGTGCAAACAGGTTGCAACGTGCCCGAATTGCAATCATGTGACTATGTGGGCAGTGCAGCTGCCTTAACTTCAAGGATGGACTGTAAGCAACTTTTCCTGAGTCTCTTGTAACCTTGAATGGTTGTTAAATGACCGTTCATAAGTTGAGGACTACCTGCATTCATGCAATAATCAACAGATAATTCTTGCAGTTCATAAAAATCCATATAATACCTTCCCCCTCAAAAAAACACCAGGAAGATGCTATTTAGTTATTTAGTTTCATAAATACTATAGTCAAGTTAAGGCAGTTTGAAAACAGTTACAAATAAATCAAAAAGAATTTAAGCCAATTAAAAAGAGCTCCCGTAAGATCAATCCAACGTGGGTAAATACTAAGTAATTAAAAAGGAATTTGTACAGCTCATGTATTTTATGACTTAATGCTCCCAATCAAATGAAGTTCGATTGTATTATTTTATTTCTACAATAAGTAGCAGTGAGTTTGTTCCACTCAATGATATAGCAATATATTATAAATATAATGAATGAATAAAATACACAAATAAAAACATGGCTTAGGCTAAAGGCCTATCTAATCCAGCATCCTGTTCCTCATAGGTTAGCTAACAAATTAACTATGCTTAATTAAAAAGTAGGATATTTTTTTAATATCAGATGTGATTGCATACAACAGAGGAAAGCTACTGCCTTCATAGTTATCTTGGAAAATACCTAGAAACACAGATAGGCTATCATGGAAAAAAGTATACTAGATGAATCAGTTTTTATCTAGCAAAAATGTATAGATGTTTGTGTCAATTTTCTGTCATTAAATAATGTTTTATTACTTATTTATGTTTGTGCTTTGTAATTTGAAGCATTTTGAAGACATGAACAAATAGTAATACACATTAATTTTTACTAAGAAAGAGCAAAACATTTTCATTAAAAAAATGAAGGGGGGGAAGTATTTTCTTTTAATATTCATACTATGAAGTGCTGGTTAAATAGACAAGTTTTAATTAGCTTTCTAAAAATGCTATAGTAGCATCTCAAATTTTGAGTGGAACATTCCAGAACATGTGTACCATTGTACATTAGACCCCCTCCCCACACAAGTTGCACCAGATGTTATTTATCAATGTTCTTTACAAGTAGCAATTTTACTTGTATTGGAAATTATACCAAGTAGCTGAAATTCTCTGTTCATTTCATCGCTACTAGATGCAGGATTGTATTTTTAAAAAATATAGAAATCATATTTTTGTCTCATTAGTTTAGGCTGCTGCTTAATTGCCCAACAAAAACCTGTCACAGATCAACAAAATAGTGTTGTCTTCCCCCAAAGAGCATCCTACTAAAACGGGAAAGAGGGGGAATACAATTGCAAATAACCACAAAAATCCTTACCTCTTTGTGATCTTCAACTACACTAAGAAGTGTATCAATAGTATTCAAGATACCCATGGCTGTTACTGCTTTATCATCACTGCCTTCTTCATCTGGTCCTGTCTGAATCACCTGGTTAAAAGTCATTGCCTAAGAACACAAAAAAAGTCTCAACTAAAAGTTATACAGTTTGAGAAACAGTTTAGAACCAGGGAACAAATTTCCAAGAATGTATGCATGTTTACATTATAAATAAATAAACATGCATGTGTGACAAACTATAATCAAGAGAAGAATTTGAATTTTGTTTTCTTATGGCTCAGGGGATCAAAAAGTTGATTCAGGGTTTGAGTTTGTGGCTGACAAGAGTTATCAAAGAGCAAATGTCGTTGCAAATCATTCAAAACAGACACTCAACAGAGCACTGTCATTAGTGAAGCACCTCTCTTTCTTCCCCAATTGAGGTGATCTCAAATAAAGACAGAAAAATGAATTCACATCTTATTTTTTAGTATTTTAAAAGGGTATTTCTTGATACTTTCGTTACTCCCTGTTATTGGATTTATATGCTGCACTTAGCCACAAACACATTACGTTTACCAGAGTGTACATAAGCACAGTACACACATATTTAGGAAACATCAGGAGTGAAATACAACAAATAGAAACACTAAAATAGATGAGATTGGCTACAAATACATTTAATAAATAAATAAAAAATAAAAATGTACTGGGCCCAGACTTACCAAGTGCTGAGTCATCTCAACTGCTATAGGAGTAACTTCTTCACTATATTCACAGATCATTTTTTGAATTACATTGGTAAGATCATCATTCTCAGTTTCTCTAATTATGTGAAGAAGGGCCTGCATTACAGGTCTAATGAATGGTGTTATATATTCTTTAGCTGCAAAGGAAGCAAGAATAAACATCACTTTTTTATAGTCAATAACAAAACTAAATGACTTAGGCATTTATATTTGTTTTTTAAAAAATATGGTTTGAAAAAGACCCTTTCAAATATTATTTAATTAATTTTGCTGCTGGCTTTATTTTGAATATGATAGACCATATTTTATTAGTATACAATTCTATGCTTCCCCATGCCCCTCCCTGAATATTTGTGCTTATTTCTCCCTTATATGGAAAGAGGAGGCACCGTCCTGGTTCATTTTCCCTTCTCAGTCTGCACTTATGAGTCTGTTTTTCTAAAAAATCTCCCCTTTTCTAGCAGTAAGATGCTCCAGCCCTCCAGGACAATATTCAAATGGTTCCAACAGACTAAATAAGAGATCACAAACTCATATCCTTCCAGGTCAGGTCAGCTATATTCAGCACAAGAATGATAGCTAAAAGCAGGATACCATTAGAGTAACAAGAAAGTGGACTTCATGTGTCTGATCTAGAACCACTTTTAGGTCAGCAATGGGGTGGTCTCACAATAAGAGCTAGGAACTGCCAGCTTTCTGCTTCAATATGGGATTGTGCTTCTGACCCTAAACTTGTGGTTTTATGAATGCAGCTATTGCATCAGCCCTGGTGGTGATAGCATACTGATGCAGAGTGCTATTCCACCTCAGCTTGTTTTACTTGGACAACCAGCAATGTTTCTTGCTGGAGCAAGGAGGTGTCACAGGGCTAGGCAGAGCAAGTTCCAACCTCCAACCTATAGGAGGCAGTGGCAGGATCTACAATTCCAGTATTCCAGGAATGGGATGGGATGGGATAGGATGGGATAGGATAATAGAATAGAATAGGATAGGATAGGATAGGATAGGATAGGATAGGATTCTTTATTTGCCCAGTGTGATTGGACACATGAAGAATTTGTCTCTGGTGCATAAGCTCTCTGTGTACATATTGAGAGGAAATAACCTAAATATGAATTTGCTTCTAACAATTGCAAATAGACAGGGTATAATTTTCTTTCAATAATTTATCATAAAGTGGTGACTTGCATTTATGTAATAAAACATTAACAGAGAAATAAACATGGCTGATTACAATTGATACCTTCTATACTGCTTTATCACAAGTCTGGCTATTTTTCACTTCTTGTTTAAATAACCACATGCAATGAAATTTTGAGCTGACAAATTATTTCACATTTGCTCTTAATTTATTTCCTGATTCTAAGCTTGTTTGACAAAGAAGAAAATGTACCTCTCTCTTGATTACTAATCAAAACTTGCAGTGCAATGGCAGCTTCCACTTTAACAGGCATTTCTCTATCATCAATCAGGCATCTTCTTGTTAACTCCAATGCTGTCTGAAGGTTCTGGTCACTCTTAAACTTAACTTCACAAAAATAATGGAGAACCCAGCAAGCCTGGTAGAGTTGGTAAGCAGTTAAACACATTTAATTATGGTCAACATGCATATTATTCTACATATATTTAATCATTCCATGGAATAACTGTCAAAACTGCAAAAATATAATGCTTCAAGCACACTGGATGATCTTTTTTTCATTTCCTTCTCCACTGTTATCTTTGAGAATTTGTAAATTAGTTAATGATAAACTTGTCTTTAGATAGCCAAGATCAATATTATAGTCTCTACTTGTCCTTAAGCTGCAGATTGTACGTGAGATCTAATGCAGAATGCAAGTGTACCATACTGTTAATTACAGCTACTTTAACTCTTATTTATATTTTAGCAGGCACAGGGTTACACAATCAGCTTTATAAGACCCTAAAAAAACTCAACAATATATTTTGTGGTAGTATTGTGCATTAAGAGCTATCTCACTTTTTATAACATTCCATTATTAGTCTGATTTTATAGTAGTGAAAAGATTCAGTATGAAACTTATATATACTAACTTGCTTGATATTCAAAATCTTATTCTACAATCCTTATAGAAGACAAAACTATTTTTCTTTGGTACTCCAAATGTTATTCTACAATTGTTACAGGAGACAAAATTAGATAATATTGAAATATTCTGTAATATTTGCTCTATAAATAGATCACAGAACATTATATAAAAATGTCATTAAAGCTAATGAAATTATTTTAATAGGAAAACAATGTTACCTGGAGGCAGAACAGGCAGACCACTGTTACATTTGCCTATTTCCCTTGAAAATAGCACTTGCAACTTAAGAATTGGTCTACTGTTAATGTATGTTTGTTTGTTTGTTTAAATATACAGTATATCTCACTTTTTTTTTTCAAAAGCTCAAAGCAGGATCTCCATTTCTCTCCAGCCATGAGGCCAAATTGAGAGTGACTGGCTGGCCAAAGTTAGATGGTAAACTTCCAAGACTGGAATGGATTTGAGTCTTCATCTCCCTGGTAAGTATTACATCATGCTGGCTGATGATGGCATTTTATAGAACTCAAAATTCTGACTGTACTTCTGGACCAAGAGCTTTTAGCAAGAATAAGTCATGTCCTTATAACCTTGCATTTAGATTATTGTAATGCAACCCTACACTGGACTGCCTTCAATATCAATGTGGAAGTTATAGCTATCACTAAATGCTGTCCTCTGGTTATGACCATTCATTCAGTAACTGTTTGAAATAAAGATGGTGCTGGGAAAAAAGGACCTACAACCATTTTGAGATCCACAGTATCCCATAGTCAGCCAGCATGATGTAATATTTAAGATGTAGGTCCAGGGAGATGAAGACTCAAATCCATTCCAGTCATGGAAGTTTACTGTCTAACTTTGGTCAGTGAGCGAGTCACTCTCAATGTAAATGGTCATCACAGCATCCCTGTGGTCATGTGACCAAAATTTGGGTGCTTGGTAACTGGCCCACACTTACAACTGCCACATCATTTGTGGTCATATTCTCCTGCCTTATGCCAACTGTCTCAACTTCAATTTCCCCCAGGTGGTGACAGCAGAATATAGCAGTCTCAGCAGTAGCCAAAATAGAACAGATTGGGAGGGAGAAGGGGAGGAGTTGAAGCAGAGTCAATTTGTGCAGGGCAGAAATGAGTCGGCATCTTCTGGCTTAGTGATCCCGAAATCATCCCCTTAGGGCTCGGGAGGACTAAGTTGGGAATGGCCTTTATTGGGGTGGGAGCTGTTGGGAGACAGAAGACATGATTGCTATTTTCAACTTTCCCAGGCAGCTCCTGACAAATACACTTTCCCAGGCAGCTCCTGACAAATACAATCAATGGGAAAGCTGACAGGAGACCTCAAGTTGTGGTCACAAGAGGTTCACATTTAATGACTTCAACTGGGACTGCCAGAAATGCCACTGCTAAGCAGTGAGGCCATGTGATGTTTTGTTTAATGACCGCTTTGCTTAGAGATGGAAATTCCAGTCTAAATTAGGGTCATAACCAAGACTATCTTTAATAGCAACATTGAACAAGCCTGTTGCTTTGTACTTGCAGGACTATCTGCTCCAAATAAAATCTGCCTACATTATGTGTTGGCCAGAAGGACATGCCATAGATTCCCTATTCAACGTTCAAGGGAAAGAGCCTGTATATTCACCCCCCTACCCCCCCCAACACTGGAAAACTGTGAAAGTAATGTTTTTTCAGAGAACCTTCAAAGTAGACAGCACTTCTTAATTGAAGGCAAACATTTTGGGGGAAGGGGTTGATATGCTATATAACTGTACACATTGTATTTTATGGTATGATTTTATAATACATAGGATCCCTGAATGTGATAGGATACAAACACATGTAATAAATACATTATCAAACTGATTACCAGAATCATCTATTTCCCGTCACTTCACAACTTTTTAAAGAAGACTAAGGGAAGTTTGTGTTCCTTTGCATTCTAGAAACTTCCAGATGTCGGGATCCAGCTTTGCACTTACCCTTGCTCTCATGTAGCCCAGCTCATTACTGAACAGAGGAAACACATGATTCTGCAACATGTACTCCATCTGATCTTTGTATATCTTTTTCTGTTGAAACATTTTTTCCAAAAAGTAGATCAGTCTCTTTTTTTACATATATAACTCACTTCTCAAAAATATTTTTTGATTTGTCCATCCTATTAACATTAGTAACCGGGCTAAATAGTTGCTAACTAAACTGACTCTGGCCAAAACAGTAAATCACAGATAAAAACCTTTTATCTAAATTATCAAAATGAAGCAAAGATACTGAAAATGATTCATATATTACAAAGTTACTTAAACCTAATCGTGCAAGAGTTGTTTGTTTAACTTCAAGCAGAAATCTGTTACGGAGTCTGAAAGTCAAAATTAACTGATACAATTTAAGAAGTATAATTCTAGATAACCTATTCTGTTAGATATAGAATAGTGATAAATACACAAAAGGTACAAATTCAATAATATAGTATCATGCATTTAGCACACTAGCACCATTAATTTGTGTGTATTTTACAAGGTCTATTTCTTAAAATTAAATTCCTTTGAATTAGAAAATATGCCCCAATTCATCATGTGGTTGTGCTGGGAAAGTGTAGTTGCTTAATTAAGTACAAGCCTTCCTCTATCAGTTTCAGGAAGACAAATATCTTAACATTATGCGTTGGATATATTTTACAGTATAAAGGTTGAGCAGCCTGAAGTTACTGTAGCCATTGCCAATTGTAACAAACATTCTAAGGCGATCATGATTGCAAACAGTCATGAAACAACCAATCTTACGTCAAAGACTATCTGTAGTGAAAATAAGGCAGAAAAATCTCAAGACATTTAAAGCAGGGGTCCCCAACCCCTGGTCCGTGGACTGGTACCGGGCCATGGCATGATGGCAACCGGTCTGCAAACAAGCAAAGCCCCATCTGTGGGATGCAGGCAGCACACAAAACCACACACTTTCCAGTCCGTGGAAAAACCTCTCTCCGTGGAACCTGTCCCTGGTCCCCAAAAGGTTGGGGACCTCTGATTTAAGGATCAACAAATTTCTACTTACTTTCAAAAGTATTTCAGCCAAAGAACCAATCATATGCAATGCTCCATCTTTTTTACGAGGATCTGCATTTGGCTCTGTGAGGATTTGGTAACAAAAGCCCATTGTTTTTTGCAGGACCTAGAATGAGAATTAAATAAATGCCCAGATATAGTTCATTAATCTATTTCAATCAATCAAAAGGTTCAACCAATATTCTGAATTGAGTAGCTCCTAATGCCTAAGACAGCGATGGCGAACCTTTTAGAGACCGAGTGCCCAAACTGCAACCCAAAACCCACTTATGTATTGTCGGGTGCCAGGTGGGTGTGGCCCACTGGGTGGGAGTGGCTGCGGTGGTAACGGCAGATTGGGTGGGAATTAAAAAGTTCAATCAATCAATTCCAACTTTGCGAGATCTTTTTTTTCCCCGCAAGAAGTTTGATTGAACCTTTTTTTTTTTTGCACACGGCGGCGGAGGCCTAAAGTGAAAAGGTTTTATAAAACCCAGCTGAAGGCCTAGGACTGGGGCAATGGCACATGTGCCCACAAAGAGGGCTCTGCGTGCCACCTGTGGCACGCGTGCCATAGGTTCGCCACCACGGGCCTAAGATATTATCTGCCTGTGTTTAATTTTTCTAAATATCGTGCATGAAAATTGCTTAGAAGTAATGAAGACACCAGGGTTAAAACTGTCTTTGGGAATTCAGTTAAAATGAAAAGGTACACTATTGATTGCGGGAGCTAATTATTAACAAGAAAAATCTAAAATCCTTAAGACACATTCTGATATTTTTTCAAAACTATAAAAATGCTAAATACAGTTCTAGCCACATCATCTCCACGATGGAATGGAATGGGCTGGATTCTCAGGAGGAAAGAGGTGCCTTCCAGAGGAGTAAGAGGCAACTCAGTTCATACAGTTTGTGTGAGACAATGAGGGTAAAGACAGCTCCTCCTTAATAGTTCTCAGAATATGTGCTTCACGGCAAGATTTTCTCCATAGGTGTGGAATAATAAAGAAACCTAGTTGGAAGATAAAAGATGTCTTTCCTAGTTCTGGGAGCTGCCATGCTTGGAGTCAGAACCTGACATAGTGATAACAATGCCAATGGTACAACCACTGCATCTTACATGAATCATCTGGGACTTCAATGTTAGGGAGATGGTGAGAGGCAGTCAGCAGAACTGAATTCTTTCACTAGTGTGCCATATTCTGATAACAAACTAATGAATATAGTGAAAGCGTGCAGACTGGAAGCTTTGCTTGTCACACACTGTTTCTATGGAAAGTAGCTGAGTGTGCCACCTGGAAAAGCCCATGACGCCCCCAAGAGATACTTCTTCAAAACCTTCTACAAGCAGTTTTTCAAGTAAAGTATCCAATGGTCTACACACAAGATTTAAAAAGAACTTTATTTTTGGGGATTTAAAGTAATCTTTATGGAACATACCTCTTTCCTTTTACCACATGCTGTAAACAACAACGTTTGTGCAGCAGTTGTGGGGGAAATGAAGTCTTCAAATACATCTATTAAAAGAATCAATTTACATTATTTGCCTTTTGAAATGTTCACGAATTAATGCAAAACAAACATAAAGGATTCATCAACCACTAGAAATTTCCATTCTGAACTTCCATAAAAGCATTTTTAATGTGTTTAAACTTCTGCCTATTTGGAGAATTATGAATATAAATGTCTCAAAGCTGCAAAATGAGTAACATTTCTATAATTTTAGATAATGTAATAATCAACATATTGCATACTAATATTATTTCAACAACAAAGTCATCTAAAATGTATTTATTAAGATTCATCTAGGACATATTGCATTATTCCATGCTGACTGAAATTTCAGATTTGTGAAAAAGTTTTTTTTAAAACAAAAACCCTCTTCTTGGATCATGCTGAGAAAGCTGCATAAATTATTTTGTTCTCTGGCAAGTCAACATCGTTTTAGAATATTCCATAAGTCAGTTAAGTACACAGAATAGACCTAAGTTGGAAAAAAGAAATATAAAACGGATCCTGGAGCATTTTATAAACCTAAGGCTTTTGTTCTATGCAAAATTCCATGCAGTAATTCCACTGAGTACAGTAGGATTCTCCTACATATAACTGAGTTGCTGATGTTATACTTTGAAAAATTTAAATTCAGGGATTCAGTGACTGTAACAGATGGATGAGTGTTAGAGAGAGGTGACATTTATATTTTGTATGTAGAAGATCCCAGTCCGTTGCTTGGCATCTCCACCTAAAAGGATCAGATGGTGGGAAAGACCCTGGAGAGCAGTTGATTGTCAGTATAAAGTAAAATAGATACAATGACTGGCACAAACTAGCTTTCCGTGTTAAAAGCATAAGAATTACATACAAGAAATTTCTCAAAGACCCATGGAAGAGGAGTTACTATTGGCTCTGGACAGACTGAACTGTTACCAATTGAAACTTGTAAAAGTAGAAGAACCTTACTTAATGGAAGGAAGGTCATACAGTACTTGTCCCATTACATCTTGCATGCCTCATATAAGACACCACAACTACCACTAGTAAATCTAAGTCATGAAAATAGGTTTTGAATTATTTTTCTAACACATCTGACATTTTTGTTTTACTGTGATCTTGATCCGTTTCATTTATTATGCAAAGCCTTGACTGGCAAAACTGGGATAACATGTTTATTAATTATACCACAATATAATATAAACCATGTTTTAAAACCCACAATGTTTGAAATAATGACTGAATGTATTTATCACATTAAGCTAAAAACCAAACAAGCCAAGTAAGACACATTGTGATATGTGAATCTATTACCGCTGAGCTATGAAAGCTCTCTGCAAATTTAGTCAATTCTGAATCACTTACCAAACTTCATACGTATATATTCGTAAGGGTCTTCCTGCCACAGCTCTTCATCCGAATCTGTATAGCACATCAATGGGAAGATAACATCTTGGATAATTCCCTGCAAATAAAAATTGTTTGTTTTTATAGGGTGCTCTATTTTTTTTTTTAAAGGAGGCGAAGCTTCCAGTATCAAATACATTTAGAAATGTCAATGATATGATCAAACGTAAAACTCATCCACACAAGTTAAAACTCCAGTCAAATTCTACTACACCAAAGCTTCAGGGGAAAAAAATATCATAATTTATCGTTTAGCTATGCAGGCTTCATTCCAAAAGAACAAGAAAAACAACTTACTTGAATATGAGGTTTCAGATTTTTCCAAGTAACTGCATGTGATATCCCTTGATTGATATAGTTCAAAGTCTGCTGTAGAACTCTTGGAGCCATATACTGCTTTTCTTTATATTGATATAACACTTTCAGCAAAACCTAAGAAAATGGATTGATTGTTTCTAAAGATTTAAGCTGTTTTCCAAAATGTGTTAGATAGCAGCTTTCCACATAGCTAATATAGAATGAGTGTGTAGCATGTGATCGGTCGCAAACTGTGAGTGTTGCTGAAAGAGGGTGGCAGAAAGAAAAAAAAAGAAGAAGCTAGCTACATATAATAGCATTCTCTTGCCCACTTATATTCTAGATAAGTGGACATTAGATATGCCAGGAGAAACATAAAATAGTAGGTTAAGTGAGGTAAGATTTGGTGACTTAAGAAATGTATGTGATAAAAAAAGAGGCAGGGTCCAGAATAAATGAGGGCGGAATGAATGTGACCAAATACAAAGTAAATAAATTAAGTGGGAGGAAAAAAATCAAAAAGGTTATGACTGGATGGAGAAGAGATCCTGAGAAGAAGTTTGAAAAATCTGGGCAATGCATGAAAAGCTGAATGGATGTGGTAGAAACTAGGATGGTTTATAGAGATAGAAAGGTACGGAGAAAAGTATAATGAATGGTTATTGGTGGGAATACATTTCTATCAGAATAGAGTTGGAAGGGACCTTGGATATCTTCTAGTCCAGGAGAGGCAACCTTGGCTCTTTTATGGATGGCTCAGGAATTCTGGGAGCTGAAGTCCACGAGTCATAAAAGAGCCAAGGTTGCCTACCCCTGTTCTAGTCCAAATACTTTAGCTATGTTTTCTCATTTCATTCCTTTACCTTACTATTTCTTACTCTTTTCTGTGCACATTGTAATACAGCTTATCCCAAAAGGAGATAGAGGGAAGAATGTATGAATGCAAATGAACTATCTTATTTGGTATGAAGCAATGCTTTATTTAGTGCAAGGTGATACATATGGAGAAGGAAAGATAGCAAAGTATATGCAAAGTCTAATTGCTTGGAATGTCAGGAATTTGGCCTTAAGGAACTTAAATGTGACTCATTATACACATCAACATTCAAATGCTTCATCTATCAACTAAGACAGAATTTAATCTCCTTGACTAAAGAAGTTAATTGTGTTTTCTAGGAAATAATAGATTCCATTTGGCAAAAAGAGAGAAACAGGAACTACTGATTTTATTTCAAGCATCTTCTACTTAAATTCAAATGTTTAATTTTTGAACAAAAAATGATAGTAAGGTTCAATTGTCAATCAAACCCAAATTATAAAGAAAAAAAATCCTACCTGCTGTATACCAACAGCAAATGCCTTTAAAAAAACTTCAGCAAATTCATTGTATTCCTTGGAAACATTACCAGGGCTTCCATACCTATTGCAATATTAGTAAAAACAAAACAAAACAAGATAACACTGTAATATATTATGCACATGCAACAAAAAAAATAACATTTAAAATACTTAAAAAATGAACCTTGAGGGGAAAAAATGTTACCTTTCAAAAAGTCTGGCTAAGATGTGGAGGGCCCACTTCTTACATTTCCACCATGGTAATTCAGGCCTATCATCTTCATCCACCTGGAGGGTTTCCTTTTGAAACCAAGTTAAAATATATAGCATTAATTTATAATGTAATATTAGGCTTCTGTGCTTTTACTTTAAAGACTAATTAAACATGGGGAGAACCATCTTTTGATGGATAGGAATCACATTTGAAACTTTGGGGGAGGGATGACAGCTATAGTCAATAGGGAAATGTCGTAAAATCAGCAGTTCTTGTCTTGCCTCTCTATAGAATAAGGATTTATTTTATTTGTATATGCACCATAGATGTAACTTGGGGCCTTTTTTTTAGGGCCATATTACGATTACAATTTTTAAGTTTCCCACCTGAAAAATGTGAGAAAAATCGCTGTCAGTTTTCAACTATTGGAGGAAGCTTTGAAGCTGAGAAAAGGGAGATTGGGGCCATAGGACACCCGCCCCTTATTATAAATATGTTTACTCTCTTACCCCACAAAAGATTTAGAATGGCAAGATACAAAGGGAAGTAACCAAGAGGGCTGCAACTTTTACTTTTGAATTTTCATATCAGCTCTACAAGTCCAAGGGACATGCTTATAAGAAAGCGAGAAAAATCTATAAATGTAAGTAGAATCCCATTCTTTGCACAGTTTACATTGTCTATAGATAAAAATAATACAGCCGTGTATATCATTTATTTGTATATTCAGTCATACAACCAACACACACAGCCTGTCATACATAAACCATATAGTCTGCATAAAACAAATACTTACAGCTGGTACATCTCGGTCAACAACTGTCTTCAAAATTTCTATCCATTCTGCTAGGTTTTGCTGATTGATCAACTCCAGGGGTAATGTATACTGTTGAGAAAAATTATGAGCAAAGCAAAAACAAGCTATGGTTATAAATTAAGCAAAGATATAAACAACCTAAAAATCCACTCTATTATTTAATTTCTTAAATTATCCACTTTCTTGGTTAAGCATCAATATGTAATTGTTCCAAGATTACAGATTAAAACCATTTATTTGTAAAAGGACAAACCTGAACAAGGGCATAAAAGATTTTGAAGATCTGTTTTTGGATGAGGACAGACTGATCAGACGGATCAGAAAGAAGCTGGATGAAACGATCTTTCAGAACAGGCAAGAAGTGTTGCATTGCTGCTATCAATGGAGTCCTCTCTTCTGGTTTTTTGTATCTTTGAAAAATAGTTAAGAGCTGATTTTAGAAAAAAAAACCTATTAGCTCCATCACTGGTTAAAAATGAAGAAATTTTATCCTATTTGCAAAGAAAGTACTGCAGAGGAAACATGTAACCCTCTGTCTTGTTGAGTTCTCTGAATATACATAATTATCACAAATAAAGATGTTCTTGCTGTATGTTTTTCTTTTTTAAATGCATGATGGAGAAGAATAAGAAGAATACTATATGCGCTATAATCACATAAATGCAGTTTATCCAATGCCTCTTTTGTAGCATCAACTGTAAGCACAGCCACATGTTGGGGGTCAATTTTTTCATTGTTACTGGATGTCAATTTAAGGAATGAAATGGGTATCTTAAGCTAATCCCCCATATAACATTTTTCCTTCTCTTAATTTAGGGGTATCTTAATGGATGATAAAGAGTTTGAGTATATACAACTTGACACTTTAACATTTTCATTTTCATTTTCTTTCTTTAAGAAAAATGTTTCTGCAATACATGGCCAGTCACTAGAATCAAACTTACTTCAACTCACTTCAGCACATTTTTGGGCTGCAAAAAAATCAAACTTTTAAAAGTGTTTTAGATACTTCTTGAACATAATCTTCAATAACAGTATTTCTTTAAAAATAATATGCTAATATGGGAGAAATTTTTAAAGCAATTTAAAGAGCAAGCAGACCAATTTCACAGACAAAAATCCAAATTATTTATATAATTTGGAGACTAATTTGAAAGCATTAAAAAAAGAGAAAAAAATCACTGCAAAATTAACTTGTCCTAATAATAAAAATCACCAAGACAGTAACATATTCATATATAAATACAAATAATTAGAAGTGTAGTATAGTGTTTCTTAAATTTGGCAATGTTAAGATGTGTTGACATCAAGCCCCAGAAATCCCACACTTTGGGAGTTGAAGTCCACACGCCTAAAAGTTGTCAAGTTGAGAAACACTGGTGTAGCATTTCAGTATTATCTGCGAAAGAGGCATGCATACATAGATTTTAGTAGGCAGATTCTATCTAAAAATCCAGATTACCAATGGATAGCAGCAAAGAGACACAAACCAAAATATATCACTGCCGCCATCTAGCAGTTTGCTGAATTTCTGCAGCAGATGCACAGGTAGTTTTTGGGTTACAATGGTAATTGGGACTGAATTTCTCTCATTAAGCATGTCATCATATGACCTATTCACTTAGTGACAATTCCTACACTTGATCTTAGCCAAAAGGCTGAGAAGTGATTCCTATTGCCATCGTTAAGTGTGGACTATGCAGGTTGTTCAGCTCGGGATTAATCACAACATGAGACAAATTGGAAACCAAAAAGTGTTTGCTTATACCAGGGGTAGTCAACCTTGGCTCTTTTATGACTCATGGACTTCAACTCCCAGAATTCCTGAGCCAGCTAAACTGGCTCAGGAATTCTGGGAATTGAAGTCCACGAGTCATAAAAGAGCCAAGGTTGACTACCCCTGGCTTATACCATTGAAACTATATCCCAGGTAATCAGGCAGATAGGTGGCTGCTTTGAGTGCTATAGAATACATATGTGTATGTGTGTGCGTGTCTGTGTGTGTGCGCACAAGCACGCGCGATGAGATGCCCATCCCACCTTGGGACAAAAAAGCAGCAGTGGCAGGAGCAACTTGCAACCTCCTGCCGGCTTCCCCATTGACTTTGCTTGTGGGAAGTTGGCAGGCAGGGTTGCAAATGACAATTACATGACCAGGGGATGCTGCAACCATCATAATTATGATCTGGTTGTCAAGCCCTGAATTGCGATCACATGACCAAGGGAATGCTGCACCATCAATACTTCGGTTGCTGAACAAATAATCACTAGGCAAGCACTACCTCTATCGCATGTTTACGTCTGCAATTGTAGAAGACATTTCTTATGAAAAAGTCCTATCTCCTGTACCTCAAAAGGTAAACAGACAATCCTTCAAATCCAATCTTAAATTCAAGGTCATATAACTCTAATGTATAGACAACAGTAATGTGAATTACTGTTAAAGCACACCATATATATATATACATAACACATAATAACTTACTCATAGTTCTTCACAAGTTGATAAAGACAAAGGAGTATCCCAAGCCAACAGGCACTATTATCAGACTGGAGATAAAATCCAATTTTCTCAACAACAGCAGTCCAGCGAGTGGGATAATCATGCTTGATAATATGATGAATGCAAGTAGTAAGCTGTACTCTGGAACATATGAGATATTTTACAAATAATACTGCTATTTTGATTTTCTCTACATTGACAGATTAATGATTGAAGTAGAAGTAAATACAATGTTAGGCTCTGAGAACACCAAGGAGTTCACTTAAATGTCAGTATTTTAATAAAATAGAATACAATAGGCATTCTCTTCTGTCAATTATACTGTGTAATGCCCATGAATTTCCCTATCCCAATATAAATTTAAGAGCACAGTATCAGTATTATACTTTCTAGTAAGACTGAAAATACTCCAATTAAGAATGAATTTGGAACAAGAATACTTTGTGACCACAACTTTGAATATACCTGATCAGTTCAGGAGAATGAATAATAGCTTCTACAATATTCTCTCGAATACAATGTCTATCTTCTTCTGGTATTGAGTAAGGCGGGTTATCCCCTGGAGTAATTCCCCGGTCAGGCCAATACTGGGTTATCATATTCTTCAAGTATATAACACCTGTCAAATAACAGTATTAAGATGCCCTAAAATTGTATTATGATGCATCTGTAATAATCTAATAGACATAACTATTAGCTCACAACCAGCACACAAGCAGAACATGGAACTTTATAAAGTACTCCATCCTATATAATTTTGCCCTAAAATTTATTGCTTCTTTATTTTTTAAAAAAATGGAAGAAAAGTGAGCTACATGCAATCACTTCTGCTACATCACTGTGTGGTGTGGTAGATTAAATCCCTAGACATCAAACTAAGTATCAGTCATTACTCTCACCTTACAGACCATTTCAGGCATAAAATGCCTATTGATAATTATGAATTTTTGCAAAGAAAAAATGGATGTGAGAATGTCTGTCACTGATCATAAAAGTACACATTATTTATTTAACTTTAATGCTTGTACAAAAATGTCTTAAGCTTTATGGCTGGAATACCCACCCTGATACGTATGGCACCTATCAGTGCAACTAATATCAACGTTAAGGGACTAGAATTAAGCTGAAGGAGACTGAATTGCCAAAATGTCTTGATGAGAGAAAATATGCAAAACATGCTATATATTTCAAGATGTCTAATTAATAAATTAAAATCAAAGTTTCAGTAGGGATAATTTAATGACAACAAATATTTGCTCTTTCAATATATACAAAAATATTGTACACAATATTGATGATAGCCATGACACCAGTCTATGCAAATTAGTTTAGTTCAGCTTACTCCTCAACGGACTCATAACATAGTATTTTTCTTAAAACGCTTCAGCTAATAAAATTTCTATCTAAATACATAAGACATGCATTACATGACTGGATACCTAATTGTGTTCAATATTACTGATATTCAAGCAAGCAAGATTAATAATGTATGTTTCTCAGACATAATAGCTTGAAAAGTTTATTGTTATCTAGTAAACAGTTATTCTATCTACTTTTTTCAAGATGTGGAATTACAAAGAAGGATGAGATGACCTCTTAATCTAAATATATATATATATATACACACAAGCTGTCATGTAATCATAAATTCTAAGGGATGCTTTTGTACAAAAATAATCACGTCCACTCTAGCAAACTATTTTAAGTACAAGGATTATTCCCCTGCCCCAGATTTCAGAGACCATCCTTTTCCTGTTTATATAGCATTACCCCACATTAAAATCTACTTTCCATTATTTCATTTTGCTACTCATAGTCCCTTATTAATAGCGCTAAATATTTATACTATAAAAAGTGATGAACTGTTACTTGCCTGCCTGTCTCACTGGTAAATCCAGTTGTTCTGACATAGTAATTTGAAGGAGAGTTGAAACGAAGTTCACTGATTTATGAGCCTATAAGGAAAATATAAAAATAGTTAGATGCTTAAAATTTTAGAAAGCATTACAAAAAAGGGTTTTTTTTAACCTTTCAGAATTCACATTTTAGCTAAGCGAACATAGACATTACCCTCCCACTCCATTAGCTTAGAGGTCCCCATCATCCACTGCCTACTAGCTCCTGGGGGGGGGGGTTCTTCTCATCTCTTTTGTTCCCTTTGCCAATTTCATAGCTGAGATGCATTCCATTCCTCTCACAATGTTTGCATATCTCTCTCAATCAGATACCTATCAGCAGAACTTTGCTTTTTATGCTGCCCAGGCAATGGAAGAAAAGAAAATCATCCTTAAGATTGGATTTAGGGTGCCTATTTAAGAAAGAAAAAGGAGAGCATTGTTTCGCCTTTATCCTTTACTATATTCACAACTAGGAAGGTCAACATAACACAACTGCAGTTTTCGCCACCTTTTCAATAAACGGTCAACAGCCACTGTGAGAACGGGTTTAAAAGTGTGGTCATGTTGCCATGCTAGCCACAAACATGTAGCAATGAGTATAAGACAAGAGATCCCAAAGCATGACCATTATTTGCCAAACAGTTGCGCATAATGTACAGTATGTTTCTTTTCAGCTTCACTAATTTTCATTTGGAGAGCTCGAAGTTGAAAAAGGCTGGTATCAAATGTATCAGTGCTTTAAAAGAAGCCGTCTGATTGCTTCATGAAAAATCAAGCTGCATTATGTATCAAAGAATGAGTTGCTTTCATACTGAAATTCAGCTATGAAGATTAGAAAAGTCAACATAAAAAAGGGCAGCAAAAGGAATAGTGAGGTTTTCCATACCTCTTGCTACCACTTCACATTCTAGAAAAAGAAAACCTGGAAAGGTACCCATCTCAAGAATCCCTCTTGTGTCGGGGTGAAATCGGGGCGACTGAACAGAGCTTGAGCGTTTAATGGCCAGATGCCCTTCCTGACGCCTAGGCGGAGCTCACAGCGGACAATTACTCATTGTGCCCAAAGAGAGAAATATCTGCCGCTATTTAGGATCGAACTTACAGCCTCCTGATTGTGAGGAGAGATCTCCACCTCTAGACCACTGTGCTGCTCCTAAGAATCCCCCTTTGCTTACACTGTGCTAAATTAGCAGGTACTGATGAATAATTTTCTTTTATCTCCATAAATGAATAAAAAATAAGTAAAAAAAAGAATAGAGAAGAGCAACAAAGATGATTAGAGGACTGGAGGCTAAAACATTGGAATTGGGTATATCTAGTTTAACAAAGAGAAGGACGAGGGGGGACATGATAGCAGTGTTCCAATATCTCAGGGGCTGCCACAAAGAAGAGGGAGTCAAGCTATTCTCCAAGGCGCCTGAAGGCAGGACAAAAAGCAATGGATGGAAACTAACCAAAGAGAGAAGCAACCTAGAACTAAGGAGAAACTTCCTGACAGTTAGAACAATTAATCAGTGGAACAACCTGCCTCCAGAAGCGGTGAATGCTCCAACACTGGAAGTTTTTAAGAAGAGACTGGACAACCATTTGTCCAAAATGGTATAGGGTTACCTGCCTGAGCAGGGGGTTGGACGTGATGACCTCCAAGGTCCCTTCCAACTTTTATTATTATTATTATTATTATTATTATTACTACTACTACTACTACTACTACTACTACTACTACTACTACTACTACTACTATTATATTGTTCTTATCATCATCATCATCATCATCATCATCATCATCATCATCATCATCATCATCATCTTCTTTACTGATTTTAGAAATCTGTACCTGTTTGATAGAACGGCTGCTATCCTATCATGTGTTTTGATATTCCAAAAAAGGCCAGGCTGCAGGAATGACAGATAAGAATTCCAAATAAACTTTTTGACAGAATGTGAAAAGGGGATATGCTGGCTAAGCTTGGCATGACTGATAAACCATGATGGTTTGGATGCAGAAGGCTTGACTGTTAATGGTTGCTCTGGGAAAGGGGAGATAAAATGCTCCGGAGTGACCTGAAGACCCATTGAAAGAAATGAACTGAAACTGATCTGAGGAAGAGGAGAAATCATGATCCAGAGAAAGATCCAAGTAAATGACATGTTGCAGACTGATTGTCAGCCAACTGTTATTGAAATCTTGCTTAACTAAGACAAAAGGAGAATGCAAAACTAGTTACATAAACATGTAGCCATAGGTATAATACCTTAGAAATATACAGTTAATTTAAAAATATTGGCTTGAGTAGCATTAAATCAATGCTGCACTCCTGTTCTTTTATGACCAATGTAGATAAGAGAGTGCACTGGCAAAGAAAATGACTGTTTATTTGCCTTAATACTATATAATTCGTCTTGCATAGATAAAAATGAAACTAAGTTTGTATATATCTCATATTATAAATAAAATAGGGGGAAATCCCGAGAAGACACTTCCATGCTGAGTATTTGATCATTTTCTGAAAACCAAAGATATGTGACAAAGTTGTTATGTGGTGGGATCTGAATACTTTAAGAAAATAATCTTGTGTTCTTAAGCATGGGCAACCTCCAGCTGCGTAAAGTTTACTCTCAAAACTAACAAAATCAGAGCTGACAGTTTTGGAATGTGAAGTCTGGACATCTGGTGGACACTTCAATTGGAGGATATTGTTTTAGACCAGTGTTTCTCAACTTTACCAACTTTAAGATTGAAAGATTAAACTTTAAGGTGTTACGGTTGACTGGGGAATTGAAATCTGTGCATTTTAGTTGTCAAGGATGAGAAGCACTCTGCTTCAGACACACATATATTACAGAATAAAGAATGGGCCTGCTTTCCTATGATGGCTTCAATGACTGCTCAGAAAAATATGGGTAGTTTTCCTGTATTAAAACAGTGTAATGCAAACATCATTTTCTAAAAAGAAATTATTGTAACATCCTAACTTTTTAAATCGCCTTCAATAAGTGTATTGAGAAAATACTGCCATTCACTATAAGGTGAAAATGTCTCCAGACAAAGCTGAGTCATTTTGCAGCTATTATGCATTCAAGATGTTTGGATATAACATACTACTCAGCAGCAACTCATTTTTATGCCACACAGTCAATAAAAAATAACCTAGAAAGAAACAGGCATGACATAAAGAGAAATCTATTTCATAGAGTTGTCTGACGGCATAATCTAATCTTGAGTCAACATTGCTCTTACAATACAAGTTAACTAAATATGTAAACTTTTAGAGAATATATATATACAACACTAATGCTGCCCATGAGTTCAATATATTTTGTTTATTATATACTAAGTTCCACAAAGTTCAAGCTGTAAAATGATTATCGTCTATATTTTCAACCACAGTAAGCTTCGAAACAATATATCACAATCTTATACATAAAGATGTGAAATATCAGTTTAAAAAGCAGAAAGCTAGGACAAGGGAGGAAAATGGAAGTCTGAGATATCTTTTTATTTTTAGATATTCCCTCTCCCCTTGTATTGTACTGTCTATTTTCATGGTTTACTTTAAGAAAAATGATTTTAAAATATTGTAGTTCACCTCTGACATGACCCAACTTTCATCAGAAGGCCAATCATTTGCCAATCTGAGTCTACCAACTGAGATAAAACCTGCTCATATAAAACTGCCTTGCATAAACATGGGCTGTGCAAAATTTTCCAAGCTCAAGTAGGTAGGTAACTAAGTGTATTGCTATTTTTTTTTTGTATGGGAAAGTTTGAGTTCAATGTAACATTGTTGTCTTTATATTCACTATGTATGTTGTGCTTTATCAAGCAGACTACCGAATACAAAATTGGACACTGTATATGTATATTAAAAAACAAGCCTCAACCAAAGCCAGAAAAGTATTTCTCCATTACTTTGTTCCTGAGTTATGTTGAAATGAAGGTATTTTTATTGCTTCATTTCTGGTGTGTTCTGAGGCTGTCTGTGAAGGCAAGAGTTTGCAGAAAAGTATGTTTAACTGTTGCTTCCACTGCATGGTTCAGAATTTTTTTAAAACATAATCCCCTTGATCAAATACTTTTTTCTGGATGGGGGACAAGACATATTCAACATAGAACAGCAACCCAAGTTTTGTGACTCTAAAATGAAAAACAAGAAAGCAAGGGGCTTGTTTCAAGGTGTTTTTTTTTTTTAAATTCCGTAGGACAGAGCACACCAAATATTTCATGTACTGTTCCACTAGAACAGAGGACACTTAAAATGTTACAAGAGAACATTTCAAATGTGGCAGTAAAATTTCACAGTTAATTTGTGCATACTCCAATATTTTTCAGTTTAGCTTATTTCCTAATTTATATAGTTGCTCATCTCACATACGAGACTCATGTAAAGCTAAAACAATAAAACATCAAACAAAGTATATAAAAATAAAAATAAAGTATATAATAAATAAAACACATAAAGCAAAAAAGGCCACCAATGATAAATCAATCAACAGCAAATGCATTTAATTCAGCGGGTCAACCCCTCATAACCTTCATGTGGCTGTGGTTAATTTAATACTGGGAGGGATGGTGTCCCTGAGAAGAAGCACTACTATGGAAAAGGCAAGCTTCCTAGGTCAGGGGTAGGCAACCCAAAACACTCAAAGAGCCACTTGGACCCGTTTCCCACCGAAAACAAAACACTGGGAGCCGCAAAACCCTTTTGATATCTAAAATGAAGATAACACTGCATATATCCTTTTTACCACTATCTTTTTTACTTACACACACACACACACACACACATATCATAAAGATAAAAAAGGATATATGCAGTGTTATCTTCATTTTAGATGTCAAAAGGGTCTCTCTCTGTCTCTCCCCCCTCTCCCTCTCCCTCTCTTTCTGTCCTTGATCTGCCAGTCCTCTTCCACCCCCCCCTCTCTCTCTCCTCTTTCTATCTTTCTCTCTCCCTCTTTCCTCTTCCTCTCTCTCTTTTTCCTCTCCCTCTTTCTATTTTTCTCTTTCCTTTCTCTCTCTCTCTCTCTCTCCCTCTTTCTCTCTCTTTCTCTCT